ACCACAGCACACAAGTGATGCCATGGGCAGAGCACCAGACACAGATCTGACGTGTGAGTATTTGCTGATTGCACATTGACAAAAGTGACTTCTACAGCTAGTTAGTGCTCTGAAAACAGCCAAGGAGCTGGGCAGTGGGAGCACACGCCTTTAATCCCAGCACTAGGGAGGCAGGGGCAGGCAGATCTCTGTGAGTTTGAGGACTGGACTACAGAGTGAGTTCCAGGATAGCCAGGGCTACACAGAGAAACTTGGTCTCAAAAGATAGGTAGGTAGGTAGATAGATAGATAGATAGATAGATAGATAGATAGATAGATAGATAGATAGATAGATAGATAGATATAGACAGACAGACAGACAGACAAAGAAGATAGCCATTGGGCACCAATGCTTAGGAGATAGAAGTGGAAGGATCAGGAGTTCAAGGCCAGCCTCAGGTACATAGCAAGTTTGAGGCTAGCTTGGGCTACATGAGACTCGAGAAAGATGAGGCAATGGAGGAAGGAAGAGAGGGGGAGAAGGAAGGGGCAGGGGAAAGGGAGGACAGAGGTGAGAGGGTGAGGGAGGCAAGGAGGGAGAGATCGTTACCCAAGACCGTCAGGCAGCAATCAGGAATTCCCTCCAGGGTCCCGTACCTTTCCACCACATCCTCAGACCATCTACCGCAGGGGCAAACTAAACCAAAGGTGGCAGAGTGGAGAGTGCTACCTAGGGACCAACACCCCCAGGACCCTGCTGAGTCTCTAACCCTCTCTCTACCCCCTCAGACTCAGGGTGAATCAGCATGGCCTGTGCAGAAATGCTTGCTGCATGGACATTGACAGAGTCCACGCCTGGACGCCGGAAGCTGCTGCTCACATCCCCATCGATCTTCTGAGTCTATTTTTATTGTTGCTCTTCCCAATGAGCACTGTGTGTATTTTGGGCTGCATTCTTCTCATAAATAAGTAAACATGGAGGTAAATATGAGTAAGAACGAACATTTATTAAGGGCTTGGCACGATGCCAGCCATGTTGCAGAGGGGTTAGCCTCTGTGACCTTGTTCCCGTGGTAAGAGCCCAACAAAGCTGACATCATAATGATTTTTGTTTTACAAAAGAGGAAACTGAGGCTCGGAGACCTGAGGTCACTCTCCCCCAGCAGAGGCAGAGCTGAGGCTGTGGAATTACTGTCGGTTCCCCAGAAAGAACACAAGTGCCTTCTGCCCAGTAGTTACAGTCTCTCAACTTGCACGAGAATCCCGAATATATAACTGCACACAGGCTCGTACAGGAGTGTCCCCCACAGTACTAATGAGAACAGTTCAACCCGGGGAAACATCCATGTCCATCACCCAATGGGTAAGTAAAATGTCACAAGTCATACAGCACACAGCCATCCAAGTGCCAACAGGCCGCGCTACTGAATGGGTGCACCTGAAAACATACACTCAGGAAACAAAGCCAGTCACAACTGGGCCGTAACGGAGTTCATATGAAGTATCCAGAAAAGGTGAATTTGAAGAGACAGAAAACAGAGGTGACTACCAAGAGCTGGAGGACAGAAGGAACTGGGAAGTGGCTGCTTGTGAGTATGGGGTCTCTTTGCAGGACAATGAAAATGTTCTAGAGTTGGATAGTAGTGGTCGCATAATCTTATGGATGTACTAACCCCTCCCTCCTGACCTCTCAGCTCTCCCTCTCCCCTCCCCCTCCGTGTGTGTGTGTGTGTGTGTGTGTGTGTGTGTGTGTGTGTGTGTGTGTGTGTGATGTTCCTGTGTGTACACACATGTGGGCCTGGGTGCACATACTAAACCTGGACCTCACCGCTTGGTGAAGTTGGCTGGCCAATGAGCTCCGGGGACCTGCCTATCTCTACCGGAGCCTTCAACACTGGGGTTACTGACATCAGTGCTAAGTCCAGGTTTTATGTGGGTGCTGGGGATCTGACCTCAGGTCCTAAAGCTTGTGTAGCAGGCGCTTTATCCACCGAGCCATCTCCTAGCCCCTCAAAATTGTCAATTTCAAAGTAAATGAATTAAGTCTTGGTTTTTTAAAAAGAAGAAATGAGGGATTTAAGCTCAAGGCTCTCGAAACCAGAGCCTGCTGCTGAATTCTGACGCTGTGGACCGGCAAGGCTCAAGACCCATTTCACATCCAAGGTGCCGGTCTGCCCTCAGCTCCACTCATTAAAACTTACGGAGCTGGAGCCAACATGAAATGGAAATGTGAAGTGGCCTCACTGAGCCGATGATTTGGAAAGGGTCCAGCCTTTCTGCTGACCTCCGAAAGCCAAGAGGATGCTCCCATTTCATAGATGAGAACATTGAGGCCGTACCGCAGCCTCAGGCACAGATGTCCTTCTGAACCCACTTCTCAAACTGTCCTCAGTTTCTCTGCCCAGTGCTCTTGGCTCCTTTCACATCCCTCTGCGCCCCACCAATGACTCCACTGGAGAAGTGGCAAAGGGGACACCAGGCACCACCCAGCTTCATCACCTCGGGCCACTTGCTGGCCCTCTTTAATAGAGAAGGCCCGCTGTGATCCCGCCCTCCTACCTCTGCCTGCTCAGAGCCAACCCCACCAAGAGGCTGCTTGCTGCTCTCTGTTCCCGATCCCCTAGTTCCCAACCTTTCAAGGACACTGCGTGAGGCGGCAGCCGACTGCTGGAAACACCGCCACCTTGTGGCCACTATGTTGCACTACAGGCCGCCGTCAGGGACCCTCCTCGGACTGGAGGCACATCTCAAGCCAGGCAGGACAGACAGCTCGGTAGTCCCCTGAGGAATGGCAAAAGTCAACAAGGCCTGGAAGAGGAAGAGGAGGCAACCAACAAATTGGACATGGAATATAAAGGATTAGTTGCAAGCTGCAAATGGCTTGGCTGTTTTCTGTCTGAGGGGCTGTTCTGCCGATGTCCATCCACAGGGCTGTGTCACCGACACCCAGCCTCAACTCAGATGTGTCCCTCTTGACACGCCCTACTTTATTTTATTTTATTTACTTTATATTTAGTTCGTTGTGTTTATTATTTTATTGCTGCGTATAGAATCAATGGCCCTATGCAAGCTGAGCCAAGCCAAGCTGCACACCAGCTCTTCCAGCCACCCTCTGTGACAGGGTGACCCTAGCACTCCTCACCCTGGAGCTGGTGTTCTCTGCTTAGTCCTTGTCCATCTGAGGTAACACAGACTCTGCTACTGTCTGGGATCTTCTAGACGGGGATTCCATCTGTGGCCCACCGGCATCATTTGTTCAATGTTTTAAAGGAGTTATTTTGTTTTTCAGAAGGGGTCTCGCCACATAGCCCAGGTCTTGGCCTTGGTCTTACAACCATCCTGCCTCTGCTTCCGGAGCACCAGGAACAAAGGGTGTGTCCTCACAGCCAGCCCTTGCTTGGTAAGTGGCTGGATGGCTCCATGGCTGAAGCAAGGTCTATGGTAAGGGTCTCTGAGCCACAGTTTCCACCATAAGACAGAGGTGAGAGCAACCTCTTGTCTACCTCCAGGAGAGCTGACAAAGGACTGCCTAGTTGGTACCCCCTGAAAATCCATGTCTACCTCAGAATGTGGTCTTTGGGGAAGTGGGGTCTTGGCAGATGTAATCAGCTTGTACCACATGATGACATTTCTGTCAACGAGGGACCCCATAGACCACGTGTCCAGATCCTATAGGATCCGTGATGCCATTGCCAGAGTGCCATGGTGAGGACACGCTACAGTGCTCACACAAGGTGGTAAAATCACCCAGAGATGCATAGCTCAGGTTGGCTCTTCCTTGAGAGATGTGTGACTGAAAGGACGATGAAGTCTCTGGATTAGGACAGGCTCCTCCCCCAGTGACTGGGGTCCTAAAGAGCCTGGAGATGGCTCCGTGGGTAGAGCTCCTGCTGTTGCAAGCATTAAGACCTAAATTCAGACGGGAAGCACCCACATAAAAGCCCCGGTGTAGTGTCCTGCCCCTGTCACCCAGGTCTTAGGGGTGGAGACACGAGGTTCCTTGAAGCTCATTCGTCGGCCAGTCCAGCCAAATCTGTAGCATCAGGTTCAGTGAGAGACCTTGCCTCAAGAACCAAATGGAGAACAAATGAGGCAAGACAGCTGACCTCTGACCTCCACACACTACCATACACACACACACACCTACACTAACAAACACAACACAACACACACAAGACAGACTTGAGAGGACACAGAGCCACACAGGGAAGACCATGTGAACGTGAGAGGCACTGGGGGGAGGCAGCCCTAAGCCAGAAGACAGGAAGGAGTCTCCCTAGAAGCCGTTGAAAGGAGTAGGGTCCAATGCGGAGGTGGGTACCTGTCTACTGCACTAGAGGAATGGCATTCCATTGTTGTAAGTCAACGCATTGTCATAGGAACCCTAGGAATCATCCTAGGCTGTGACCACCTCGGGAGATGTTTCTCTCCAGGCTGCACTGATCCTCATCGATCTGTGACACTATTTCCTGTGATGTGTTTTCTTCTAAAATGAAACCCTTGCCCCCATGCCAAGCACCCCGTTCGTGCAACTGAAGTGTGCCTGGATGTCTGTCCGCCTCTGCACCTCAACAATGGGGCTGTTCACTCTGAGCCCACATCTGTCTTGCTTCTGGGGGGGGCGGGGTAAGGGATGGACAGTCTTCACCCATGTAGGGAATGAGGGGCAGAGCTGTCGGGAAGCCCAGCCGGCCTGGTGGGGCAGTCGAGTGCCCCAGAGGTCCAGGCTTCTTCAAGGAAGCGCTTGTGTGAATTTGCCTTTGCTGCCCTAGCAAGTGATTTAAACATTGCAAGCCCCTTGAGCCACACCAGTGGCCAGGCCCCTCCTGCAGAACCTCTAACTGCCAGGTTCCACCCACAGAACACTCTAACTGCCCCAACTGCGGGACCCTGATCCCACCCTGCAGAGTGAAAAGCCCACTCTCTAGACATGGAATCCCACCAATCTTCACCCTGAAAAGTTCCGCCCTCTTCCCAAGAAACTCTATACTCTATCCTGTTCAGCTTGTTGCTGTTTCTAGCTGGAGCAGAGGCAGTCACCCTTCTGGGGTTTTCCCTCCTCAAAAATCTCTCTTGTGAGGTTTGTTGTGCAGTGTGACTCTGTGATGTTCCTTGGCTCCCGGCTGCCAGGATACCTTTCCATCCGAGCGGCACTGCCTACAAACATCGCGGCAGTCTGTATTTATTATATCTAGAAACCAAAACCCCAAACTAGATTTTACTGACCTAAAAATGTGTCTGCAAGATTGGCACCTTTGGGGAAGTCTAGGGGAGAACCCATGTCTTTTTTTTCTTTCTTAGGGTCTAGAAGCTTCCTACATGTGTTCCTGCATGTGTGTGTGGAGGGGGACTTCTCTCACGTATTTCTTGGTTCCTGGTTGACACGCGTTAGCGTGCATCTTGATTGTTAACTTGCTTGGCTTGAGAGACCTAGGAGACAAGTAAAGGACAATTCTGGTGTGCCTGTCCATCGGGGCAAACAGGAGACCGTGAGGGCTCTCTAGTGGATGGTTTAGTCACTGACGGTCTCAGAATTCAAATGGACTATTTTAGTCAACTATGGAAGTAGGCCCTGGGAGGTACGTCTGAAAGTTGTACCTGGACCCCAGTCCCTCCCTCTCTCTGCTTCCTGTCTACCTTGAGGTAAGCAACCTATTCCTCCACGTACTCCTGCGTGATGCCCTGCCTCATCAAGAACCCGGAAGCACAGAGACAAGTGATTGTGGACTGAATCTTCTGGAACCTGGACTAAAATTGACCTTTCCTTCTTGTGATGGTTGGTCTCGGTTTTCAGCTTGATTGGACTGAGAGCTATCTAGGCTTTCCAGAGATGATTGGCAGATGGGGCAGTGACTGGGAAAGAAAAACTCGCCCTGAATGTGAGCTGTGCCTTCGAACAGACTGGCGGCACAGGCAGAAGGCAGTGGGTCCGCACTCACCTGAGCCCCTTAATTTCTGAATGAGTGTGTGTGAGGCTCAGCCACCATCCAATGAGGTCAGATTGCAGATTCCTCCACCTTTCAGCGTGGACTCACCAGACACTCTCCAGAAAGTTTCCAGGCCTTCAGAGCCAGGTTGAGACTTCCAAGTTGTCCTGCCTTCTCGAATGGCATGCAGACAGCCATCATTGGACAACCTGGCCCCTATTGGGGGGGGGTTGTCTCTCTATTAAACCCCTTTATAGCATGAGAGAGAGAGGAGAGAGAGGAGAAAGAGGAGAGAGAAGAGAGAGATCACTGGCTCTGTTCCTGCAGTGGTTCAAATGAGGAATGTCCCAGTACCTCATGCTCCCCAAATGGGAACCATGGGAACACCTGGTCCCCAGTTGGTGGCACTGTTTCGGGGAGGTTACTGAATTTTAAGGATGTGAAGCCTTGCTGATCGAAGTGTGTTACTAGGGGCAGATTTGAGCTTATAGCCTTGCCCCACTTCCTGTCCACTCTCTTGGCTTCCTGTGTGGCAGACGAGCAAGCAGCCAGCTCACTGCTTAGGCACCTGCTGCCATGCCTTTTGACTCTGTGGCCTCCCACTCTGTTAGTGTGAGCCAAATAAACTCGGCCTTCACCGGTCACCTCTGGTCCCAGTGTTTGTTCACAGCACAGACAGGTAACCAGGACTAACACGCTCCTTTAAGTTGTTGCTCTCATGTATTTCCTCACAACAGTGAAGAAGTAGTGAGTCCAGTTCCCACAATAAAAGACAGATTGACAAGGGACATCTATGTGTACAAGTTTGCTGTAAGTTTTATGCCGTGCAGGAGCCTTAGAAATGAAGATCCAAGGGGACAGGGAGAGCTGTGTCTTCCAGGCTGGGGATTAACAGGGCTTCTATCTGTTCCAATTCTCCTTGGGTGGTATCTTCTCAGCCGTCTTCAGACATGAGGGCAGCCAGGGACTGCACCTCTAGAGTCAAGATTTCATGACCTGCTCTGAGTGACAACCACTTTGCTGTTTCTTCTGTTTCTCAAATGCCAACGGGGCCATGTTTTTAGGTTGCTTGTCCTGAATCCCACAGTCTTCTCCCGGGAAGATGCCAACTCTGACCACGGCTCCTCTTGGCCTCCCCTCTCTGTCTTTCCTATGTAAAGATCCCATTGGTCCATGAACATAAGCCAGGATTGTGTCCCCATCTCAAGACTTTTGCTCTATTTTACTTTATGCATGGTGTTTTGCCTACATGCATGTCTGTGGACCATGTGTGTGCCTGGTATCCATAGAGGTCAGAAGAAGGCATTGGATCCCTTGGGACTGGAGTTATAGGTAGTTGGGGACTGCCATGTGGGTGCTGGGAACTAAAGTGTTCCTGATCTCTAGCCATCTCTCTTGTGCCAAGACCTTTAACTTAATGTCTTCTGCAAAGTCCTTCTTGCCATGGAATGTACTCCCAAGACCTGGGGGTTAGAATGTAACATCCTTGAGCAAAAGGAAATCTTCCACTTCTCATAATGCTGAGGGGACACAGAAAGTCCTCTGATGTCTTTCACAGCCTCCTACATTTGGGTCCCTGATACTGCTCTGGTCCTCTCAGACTCAGGTGCCTGTCAAAAGATGAATGGATAAAGAAAATGTGGTCCACATACACAATGGAGTTTTATTCAGTCACAAGGAAGACTGTAATCCTGTCAGTTGCTGAAAATGGAGATCATGTTACCTGAATAAGCCAGGTGCAGAAAGACTGTGTGTGTGTGTGTGTGTGTGTGTGTGTGTGTGTGTGTGTGTGTGTGTGTATGTTCTCTATCAGCACTTAGATTTAAAGAAAGACAGAGAGGAAGTGGTTCTATTTGGGTGGAAGATGAGAGGGCAAAAGGGGAGGTCACAATTGAGGGGCACTGTATACATCAGTGTCACAGTGAAACCCATGATTCTTTGCAAATAGCATACTCCTCATCATGTCTCAGAGCCTGGGGTCCTGAGCCTCTGGGGAGTCAGTCCTAGCTGGACAGACGCTGCTGGTTCTGAAGTGTTCGGCTTCTTCCTCTCCATCCCATCTATTTGATTAAACCAAATACCAATCGCAAAACAGGCTAAAGAAAGAATGAAAGGGAAGAAGGGAAAGAGGAAGGGTGGAGGGGGAAGGGAGAAAGAAATAATGTTTGAAACAGACAAACCAGACAATCCGCACACAGGGGGATGTCGCCCCCAAGTGGGGATCCTGGGAAGTGCTGTGTGTGAGAGAGAGAGAGGGAAGGGAAATTAGCTAGTTGAGATTTGCGACACAAAGCTAGAAGTGGAGCCAGAGGCCACGCTAAAATACCAAGGCTGCCCACTCCAGGGCCTTCCCAGTAGCCATGGGATGGCATCTTAACAGAAAGTCAAGCTGAGTGTGACAACAAGTGTGTACAGTCAGGGTTGGCACATCCCTAGAGAGCCAGAAAATGGCTGTCAATGGACTGCAAAGGGGATAGGGTCTGGTGAAGGGAAAACACGCCAACCAAAAGAAACAACTGCATGACATTTCAGTCTAGTGCTGCCATCTGCCCCCTTTGGGCTCCTCGTATAGGGATAAGCAGGGAGGGATGAAGCCCATGTGGGAAGGAGGCAGGACTTCTTACTTAGAGAGGCTGGGGTAGAAGAGGAGAGGCCTTGACATGATCCTATCCAGGGACCTCTGCTCACATAGAGGGGAGGTGGTCAGACACAATAGCTCCAGGGAGAGCAGTGTTGATGTGCCCCAAGTAAACCACAGAGGCCAGAAGACCCAGCCAAGGGCAGGAGAGCCAGAGAAAATGCTGAAGAGAGGCAGTGAGTTCCCGGCCAAAGGCAGTGCCCCCTGTCCTTCAGGATGCAAGTGAGTGGCCATGTCCAGGTCTGTAGACACCCAGCACAGCCTCCTACCCCAGCATGAGTCCAGCCAGCAAAGCACCAAAGCTGACATCACCGCTGCTTCCCACAAGCCCTCTGTGAGTTGGTTTCCAGCTCAGAATCCACCTGCCACCCGTGAGACCAGCACCCAGCTGGCCCTCCGCTGCAGACCAAATGGCCAAGGCTTTCAGTTTCAGGCCTCCTGCTTCTCCTTGAGTCCACACTTCTCACCTCCTGCTCAGGCTACATCACTCAGAAATCCATTCCGCTCCCCACAAACGCCTATGTCTCCCAGATCCACGTTCAAGCCCTAACCATCCATGTGATGGCATGAGCTCATGAGACCTTTGGGGAGATGAAGTTTAGATAGTTGAATCTGTGCCCCAATAATGGATAACTGTCCCCTTAAGAAAAGGAAATAGAGGGCTCGAGAGATGGCTCAGAGGTTAAATGCATTAACTACTCTTCCCAGAGGTCCTGAGTTCAATTCCCAGCAACCATGTGGTGGCTCACAACCATCTATAATGAGATCTGATGCCCTCTTCTGGTGTGCAGATATACATGCAGACAGAACACTGTATACATAATAAATAAATAAATAAATAAATCTGAAAAAAAAAGAAAGAAAGAAAGGAAGGAAGGAAGGAAGGAAGGAAGGAAGGAAGGAAGGAAGGAAGGAAGGAAGAAAAGAAAAGAAGGGAAAGGAAAAGGAAGGGAAGGGAAGGAAATGAAAGGAAAGAAAAGGAAAGGGGATGCTCAGTGGATAAAATGTTTGCTGTATAAGTGTGAGGAACTGAGTTCAGATCCCAACACTAACTGGGTACACTGACACACACTTGTAATCCCAACGAAGGGCAGTCAGAGACAGGAAGATCCCCAGGGCTCACTAGCCAGCCAGTCTAGCTAATCAGTGAGCTCTAGTTTCAGTAAGAGGTCCTGTCTCAAAGAAATAAAAATAAAAATAAACACTCAACCTATTGACCTATCACTTCCATATACATAAGCTCAGGTGTACGCATACGGTGCACATACACATGTACACCACACATACCATACTCAAACAGGAAGAATAGTCTCTCTCTCTCTCTCTCTCTCTCTCTCTCTCTCTCTCTCTCTCTCTCTCTCTCTCTCTCTCTCTCTCTCCCCCCACCTTTCCCTCCCCCTCCTCTCCCTTCTTTCACGCAGTGAGGAGCAAACTATCCACAAGGCAGTAAGAATGCAGTTGGTAAGCTGCTCTTGTCTATGGCATTTGTTTACACCCCAAACTCACCCAGATACAATGGTTAATGGCAGGTCATCTCCACTGTCAACCTGGGCTGATCTCTGATCACCAAGTGTTTCCAACGAAGTTGAACAGGAAGCAAGACCAAAATGATCAGAGTTCCTGGGCTGAATACAGAGGAGAAAACAAGTTGACCGCCAACATTCATCTGTTTCCTGATTGCAGATGTGATGTGACCAGGGGCTTGGCATTCCCACATTTGTGACTCCCCACCATGATGGACTGCTGGCATTCCCACATTTGTGACTCCCCACCATGATGGACTGATGGCATTCCCACATTTGTGACTCCCCACCATGATGGACTGCATCCCTTTAAATCATGAGTCAAACACTCCCTTTCTTAAGTAGCTTTTGTCTGGTTTTGGTCATAGCAATAGGAAGAATAACAATAATAATACAGTAACTGCATACAAATTGTCCTCTTTCATAAGAGCATTTTATGAAACTGGTGGGGGATGGAGATCAGCCCAGGCCCCACGACCTCCCACATCCATCTGCTAGATCACATATCTCTTTCACCCCTGTGCTGGAGAACAATTCCTCCAAAAGAGGCAGAAGAGAGTACACTGCCCTCCCCAGGAACATGGGTAGTCTTCCTTTGCCCGGGACTTCCTTCTACCAGAGGGAATATAAGGTTGCCCTATACACCCAGCATGCAACCCAGTGGACAAGGATGCTGTGTGTTTTGTATCAACTTGGTACAAGCTCTAACATTGAGAAGAGAAAACCACAATTGAGAAAATGCTTCCATCAGGTTGGCCTGTGAGCAAGCCTATGGAGCATTTTCTTGATTAATGATTCATGTGGGAGGGCTCAGTTGACTCTATGGGTGGTGCCATCCTGTGGCTGGTGATCCTGGGTTATAGAAAGCAAGCTGAGCAAGCCATGGGGAGCAAGCCAGTAAGCAGCACTCATCCATGGTCTCTGCTTCATTTCCTGCCTCCACATTCCTGCCTTGAGATCCTGACTTGACTTTTCCTAGTGATGAATTGGGACCTGGGAGTTCTAAGATGAAATAAACCCTTTCTTTCCCAAGTTGCTCTGGTCACAGTGTGCTAGGACAGCAATAGAAAGCCAATTATGGCAGATGGATCAGGCAAGGGCATACATGAAGACCAATGGAGGAGATTAAACTCAATAGGATTTTTTTTTCTTTAGAAACAAGAAAGTTATCCACTGCACCGGAGGATCTGACAGATTCAGTTTTGTATTTTGTTTAGGATGAGGGATAAAACACAAAGTCTGTGCATGCTAGGCAAGTTCTACCACTGAGCTACATCCCCAGCCCACACTGGAGAATCTAAAAAGGCACCTTGTACCCCACCATCCACTGTCACCTCAGTGTACCTGGAGCTGAAGAGGTTTCCCACACTCACACTCACCTGCCTGAGAAGCTGAGCGCAAAGAGGCCCCACCCTCATACCTGCCATGTCAGAAGACCCCTCCTCTAAAGGAAGTCTCAACCTGACCTTAAGCCCCAAACCCAAAACCAGACCCTGGTTTTAGTAAAGTCCACGCCTGGAGGAATTCTACTCTCTTTGTCTTATCCCTTTGAGGTTGCTGTAACAAAATGCCTGAGGTGGGCAAAGTTATGAACAGGAATTTATTGCCTCAGACTAAGGCAAATTCCGTGTCTAGTGAGGGGCCACTTGCAAGTTCATAAATAGCTGTCTTGGTACTTTGTCCTCATTTTGTAGAAAGAAGGCCAGTGTTCCCTGGGGTCTCCTCTAGACGGGCACTAATCTTGCTCAGGAGAACTCCATCGTTCATGACCTAATCACTCACTGTGATGGCTGATCTTAGCTATCAGTTTGACTGTATCTAGAATCAACTAAAACATAAGCTGATGTGGAATTTTCTTGATCAGATTGTCTGACACAGGAAGACCCACCCTAAATGTGGTGGCACCTTCTGGTGGCAGCAGCGATAAAAGGACAGGGAAGAAGGAAACTGCTTTTTGCCTACTTGCCTTCCCCCCTGCCAGCAAGTCCATCTACTCTGTTGCTGCTGCAGTCCCTCACTGACGGTAAGAGCCAGCCTTGGCAACCTCCAGCATAGACAGAGGACCAGGAGCTCTCCAGAACCCTCCAGGCCTCCGATGGCAGATCGGGACTGCAGAGACGCCCAGCCCCATAGCTGAGCAAAGCATGTGATAAACAAATGTGGAAATGTCATAATGAGCTCCATCGTTTTGTATAATGAACGTGTACTTGTAATTATAGTAACAACTACAACTATAGTAAGGGAGAGAATAAATAAGAAAGATGGCATCCCCAAACAGATCAACGTTTTAGTTCATTGTGGGAGGTCATAAAGGATTTCCAAGCTAGGGACAAAAGAACAGCAAAGTCTCCTGCCTCTTGATTCTCTGGGCTAGCAGGGCTCATCAGACAGTTCTGCTCCATATCAGCAGGAACTGCACTCACTGAAGGTTCTGCTGCCTGGGTGTCCAGTGGTTCATGAATACTGGCAGATGTCACGGGCTAAGTGGGGCTGTTGACTGTAACTCTTCAGTTCTCCTCTATGTGACCTCTGCATGTGACATGGGTTTTTTAAACAACATCTGGGATCCAATAGGTAGTATTCCAAACCTGTGGGAGCAAAAGATGCCTGGGGTCTAAGGTCCAGCCATGGAAGTCACATGCAGCATTCCAGCAACCATAGGGAGTCCCAGGTCTGGCCCATGTCCACCAGTACAGTCAAGGAAATTGGTTCTACCTCTTGACAGGAGGGATAGCCTGGTCTCCACAAAGTCCAAGCTGTGTATAGAAGTTTGGAGCACTGGTTAGGCATGGCAGCACACATCTATAATCTTAGCACTTTGGAGGCTAGGCATGAAGAATGGGAATTCAAGGCCAGCCAGGACTACATAGCAAACCCTATCTCAAAATGAAAAATAAAATAAAATAGGTGTGTAAGAGCTATGTAAGAAAACACGGGGTTGGTAGGGTGCTTCTGTGGTCCAGTTCTCAGCACCACATAAACTGTCCATGGCGGCAGCCTCTGTCATGCCAGCACTTGGAAGACAGAAGCAGAAGGATCAAAGGTTCAAGGCCACCCTCCTCTACAGAGTGAATTTGAGGCCAGCTACATGAGACCTCTGTGTGTGTGTGTGTGTGTGTGTGTGTGTGTGTGTGTGTGTGTGTGTTATGGGGAGGGGTCCAGAATAGCGGAAGCCACTTTAGCTCAAGCTAGCATCAGTAAATGAAGAGTAGAGTGGAGAAGGAGAGGAGAGGATGGGGGAAGGGCAGACACCAAGCGCATGTGCCGAACTCCCTGAAGATGGCTGGTGCTCTGCCTTGGAGGCAGACAAGCCCAGTGCTCAGCGCCTTCAGAGAGCAAGGCCTCCTTCCAATTCCTCACAGCCTCTGCTGCTCATCATGGCACAGAACACCCAGATCCCAAAACACTCCCCGTGCAGACAGGGAGGCCACCATCTTGTCTCCTGGTCAGCAAACACCAGAGATCCCCCCACCAGCTTTGAAATCCTTTCTGTGGTGGTGACACCAATACTCTTGCCATAACCCAGCCGGGGCCACAAACTCACCACCCAGCACAGCCCAGTGAGACAGTCCCCCACCCCACCCACCATGTGTCCAGACACAGCCAACTGGAGGAAGCACTGGGTGAACAGCACAAATACACTGTTTTCAGCCGCATCCCTGGCGTCCAGCATCCTGCCTCGGCAGTGTTTGTGGATTGACTCCCTGAACATCATTTTCCTGCTGGCAGCAGAGATGGAGGTGAGAGTAGCCTATGGGGCTGCTTGCCCTCTGGGAAACCTTCCAGTAGAAAAGCACGAGAGTAAGAGCTGTGAAAAGAAACTGCCATTGTGTTCTGTTGACTCCACACTAATGCCGTAAGCACCTACCATCCGCCCGAGGGTTTCCAGACCCTCTAGCCATTCCGGTATTAGGCAGGAAAGAGTCCTGTAGTATATAAGAGTCTTGCTTTCAAGCATCAGAAACCAGTTCATCGAACTTTCAAGGAGTTCAGTAAAAACGTACCGAAGCCTTGCAGCACGGTGCGCCAGTGGGGCCCGAAGAGAAAAAGGTCAAATCTGTGTGGGTGGTGGCGGTGTGATGGGACAGAGGACCAGCCCTATGGCCCATCTTAGTTTTGTCTTGCAAGGCAGCCGCCTGGCCAGTGATGGACATGTCCTCTGCTCTGTCCCTGTCTCAGCCCTCCAGCTCGTTCCTTTGCCCTGACTGCACCCTCCTTGTCCTCCTGTCCCCATTACATAACTGCCCCCCCCCCCGTCCCTGGGGACCCTTATGTAATTGTGTCACCTCAGGCTCCCAGCCTCACCTCGAAGCTCCCACCTCGGCTATGCCTGTCTCATATGATCTTTCACAGTTGGCTGGGCCAAGCCTTCAGTGAGAACCACGGAAGAAGAGGTGGGGCAGGAGGGGAGGAAGAGGGAGAAGAAAGGGGGTGTGGGGGAGAAAGGGGAAACAGGAGGAGGGGGCAGGGAGGAAAGGGAAGAGGAAAGAGAAGGAAGAGACGTGGCAAGGGAGGAGTCGGAGGGGAAGGGGGAGGGTTAGGATGTGGAGGACATGACAGCCCTTGGGGCGGGCTCCAGGGACCCCAAAGTCTTGTCTGCACAAGGGATCCCGGCCTGTGGCCTCTCATCAGGGAGCATCAGGGGCTTTCTGAAAACTCTCTCTTCCTCAGACTTTCACTTCAGCAGCATGGGGAAATGGCGGCATCCTGATCCTCAGGGTGGAGGCGTTTGTCACTGAGAACAGCTCCTGAAGACCCAGAGCTCTTCAGGAAGTAGGAAGTCTCTAGGAAAGTGCACCACGAGCAGGGGTCTCAAATTTTATGAGCTTAGAAACTTTTACACTTTAAAATAAACTGAAATCAGAATGATGGTGCACACCTGTAAGCCCAGACCTCAAGAGGCTGAAGCAGCAGGATGATACTCAAGGCCAGCCTGGGCTACTCAGCCAGCCTGGGCTACTTAGCAAGACCCTGTCCCAAAGGAGTCACAAGCTGGTGATGCAGCCCAGTGGACAGGGGTTGTCTAGAAGGAGAAGGGCCGGGCGGTGGTGGTGCACGCCTTTAATCCCAGCACTCAGGAGGCAGAGGCAGGTGGATCTCTGTGAGTTCGAAGCCAGCCTGGTCTCCAAAGCAAATTC